GTGCCACCATGTCCAGCTATTTTTTTTCAAGTTTTTTTTTGTAGAGACAGATTCTCACTATGTTGCCCAGACTGGTCTTCAGGCCCTGAGATCAAGCTATCCTCCCAAAGTGCTGGGATTACACTCTTGAGCTACCATGCCCAACCCTTTCTTTTGCAATATAGGTATTTAAAACTATAAATTTCCCCCAAGCACCATTTAATAGCACCTCCAAAATGTGATATGTTATCACTGAGTTTAAAACATTTCTAATTTACTTGCAATTTATTTATTTTTCTTTTTTTTGACTTTTGAGTTATTTACAAGTACTATTTAAAATATTTGTGGTTTTTCTAGGTATTTACTGTTTCTGGTTTTTAAGTAAATTTTTAGTACTTAAAGAACACACTGCAAGTTCTATTCAAGTGAGTCTAGTTTAGCATAAGAAAGTGTACACTGGTTAGAGAAAAAAAAGCTTTCATGATTAACCTGAATTTAAAATATTAAGCCAACAAAGTACATTATCTTTTCTAATGGTTTCTTTCCCATGGTAGGCTCTAATATTGACTGAAATATTATTCTGGATGTTTCTCTGAAGATGTTTTTAAATGAAATGTATAGATATAGTTCATTCACTCTAATGGTCATATATTGTATCATTGCATGAATATAAAATATTTATTCATTTTCATCTTTATAGATATTATTTTCCAACTTTTGATTATTTACAAATAATGCTGCCATTAACATTCTTGTATATCTCTGATAAGTATTTATTAGAAGTGGAATTGCTGAGCTATGTGTATCCATATCTTCAATTTCAACAGATAATGTCAAGATGTTTTCCAAAGTGATTGCATCCTATACACTCCAATCAGAATATTTTATCTTGATACTAGTACTTTGTGTGATATGTGCGGTAAATACCTCTCCCACTCTATGGCTTGACTTTCAAATTTTGTCATAGAATTTACAAAAAACTTTTTATTGTGGAATATTTCAAATGTATTCCAAAGTAGTTTAGAAAAAATAAAGTGAAAACTCATGTATCCAGCATTCTGCTATAATAATGTTAAATTTATGGTCAATCTGCTTTTATTCCCACATACTCTTCTACCATATTATTTTGAAGTAAATTCCAGATGGCATATATTTTATCTATTAGTATATCAGTATGTATATAGAAAAGATAAGACCTTTTAAAAATTAATCACAATATCACTATTAAATCTAAAACAATATCTCTTTAATATCAAATATCTAGTCACTGTTGAAATTTTCATTAGTCCCATAAAGATAATGGTTTCTTATTTTACATTTGCTTGAATGAGGATCCAATAACACACATTACCCTTGCTTGACATGTCTCTTAAATCTTTTAATCCAAAGGCTTCCCATTCATCTTTTTAAATTTTATTTTTTATTATGTTAAAATATACATAACTCAAATTTTACCATTTTAACCATTTTTAAGGATATGATTCAGTGGCATTAAGTACATTCACATTGTTGTGCAACCATCACTACCATCCATCTCCAGAACTTTTTCATATTTACAAATTGAAACTTTGTATTTATTAAATAATAACTTCCCATTTTCTGCTTCTCCCAGCCTCTGGCAACCACTATTCTACTTTCTGTCTCTGCAATTTTGGCTACTCTAGTTACCTCATATAAGTGGAAACATACAATATCTGTTTTTTTGTGTCTAGCTTATTACAATTAACATAATGTCTTCAAGGTTTTTTCACGTTGTAACACGTATCAGAATTTAATTTCTTTTTCAGACTGCATAATGTCCCATTGTATACATATACCACACTTTATTTATTCATTCATCTGTCCATGGACACTTCTTGTTCTGAAATCTACTATGCTGATTTTAATCTAGCCATTCTAGCTTTCTTATGATTAGTGTTTCCACACTATTTCTCTCTCTTTTTTTACTATTATTCAACCTGTATCTTTATATTTAAAGTATGCTTCTCATAGGAAACACACAAATGGTTTAACATTTCTACCTAATCTATCTTTCTGTTTTAGTCATGGTTCCTCAGAAGGACAGAAACAATAGGATATATATATAGAGAGAGGTATATGAAAAGGGATTTATTAAGGAAATTAGCTCACTTGATTATGGAAGCTGAGAAGACACACAACTGGCTGTCTGCAAGCTGGAGAACAGGAAAGCCAGTAGTGTAGCTCAGTCCAAGTCCAAAGACCTCAGAACCAAGGAATCAAATGGCATACTTATCAGTCTGAGGTCAAAGGCCCTAGAGCTCTGTAGGGAGTCTTCAGTCTAAAGACCAGAGAACATGGAGTTATGATGTGCAGGAACAGGAGAAGAAGATCGTCCCACCTCCAGTAGAGAGATGGTGAGAATTTGTCTTTTCTTCGTCTTTTTTGTTTCATTGGTTCTTCAGCTGATTGGCTGGTACCCACCCACATTGAAGGTACATCTTCCCACTCAGTTCACCAGCTTACATGCCAATCTCCTCTGGAACACGCTCACAGACAGCCCAGTCATTCTAATCAAAAGCAAAACCAACTGAATTTCCCTTTCAGTGGAGGAAGGATTGGCTCAGTGACTAACTGAAGCACTGAAAATAAATACTGCTTTGCCATCTGAGTATTCCTTAATCTAGTTGACACCCCAAATCAACCACCATCACACTCTTCTTTTTTACTTGGCTTGTTTAGGCAATTAATGTTTGATGTAATTATTAATACAATTGGGTTTAAATACATTATTTTGATATTTGCTTTCTTATGTCCCATCTCTTCATTGTTTCCTTTTATCCTTGTCTCCTACCTTATTAAAAATTAATAGGTATGTAAGGATCTGGATGTCAACAAGATGGCAGAGCAGACTTTTCCAGCACTCATCCTTTCACAGAAGCATCAATTTGAACAACGATTCGTGCATAAAAATACCTTCACAAGAACTAAGAAAACCAGTTGAAAGATTACAGCACCTGGGTATAGCACAAAAATAAGTAAAAACACATTGAAGAGGGAAGCAAGAACAGTTTTACATTGCCCACATCACCCCTTCCCAACCTCAAGCTGCACAGTGTAGAGAGAGATGCCATCCACTTGGTGAAAGGAGAGTGAAGTGAACATCAGACTTTGCCTTGAACCTCAACACTAGTCCCATCCAGTAATACTCAGCACTGGGATGAGGTCCAGGACTCTAGACCAGGATGTGCAAACTGAGAATCCAGGTTTGCCTCAGCACCAGTCTGGATCTCAAAGACCAAAGCTCCAGGCCTGCCCTGAGGACTCAGTCTGTAGGCCTGCCCTACTGCCAAGTTGACTCCAGTGGCTTTGGGCTTCAGCTCCACCTCCCCCCCACAATCACCCCAGCAGATTTAGCCTCCAGGCTTGCCCTTGGTACTTGTCAGTCATGTACTAAATGCTTTACACAACTCATGTCATTTAGTCCTGACGACTTTGTGAGATTCACCATTAGGCTCATTTCAGAGATGGGGCACAGAGAAGTTTTAATATTCAAGTTTTACATCCACATTTACACAATAGTAAGTATAATTAATTCAAACTAGGATCTGTCCAATGCCATTCTTCTTTCTAAGATACAACGTCTTCAGCACCTGGATGCTTCTAACACTTGATAACTCTGAGTCTAACCATCTGCATGAAAAACTGTTCACAGAGGATTTGGGAATTTTTCACCCCACAAGTGATCTTTTTGCCTCATCACAACTAATCATTTCTTAATAGTTGTGATAACAATGCTTCACTCTTTTTAAGACTTCTTTTTCTGACCACTTATCTTTTTTTCTAGAGCCATTCATATCAGTGGTTAGTGCAACTTTATATTCATAATAAGCCACAGTCCTCCTAAAAACAAGTTTCAATAACTTTACACATCCCTCTTTCTATTGCATATATTTTCAGCTAACAAATCAAGAACAAATGTACTTAGGTACCAAAATCCTTAGCAAAAATAAATAAATAAAAATTAGTGTGGCTACATGTGACCGGATTTTGTTAATGCTCCAAGCAGCTTCTAACTCATCAGTATAGCTAAATAAGGTCTAGGAAAACATAAAAAGGATGGTGATGTCTAGGAAAAAATGGAAAACTATTCTGAATGAAGGTGTTGAGAAAAGTTGGGATATTTTGGGCATTGTACTGAAAGAAATAAAGGGGTTATGGATGTGGTACAAACTGGGAGAAAGAAGGAATGCTAATCGGATCAAACTTGTAAAAATTTGTGACTTACTGTTGAGATCTGAAAATCTATCTAAGGGCAAGATGCTGTGACTCACCTAATGAAAGGACCTCACATGTCCAGGAGTTCTTCAAAAGGGGAGGTACCAATTGTCCTGTACATTTTAATCTTCCAAAAATATGCCTGCCTAAAGAGTCTATATTTATAGTATGACTTCAGCATCAGAAACAGGTGGCTGGGCCTTTTTATACTTCTATTTTGAATCTTTCTCCAAAGGTACATATGGTTATCATATTTCTGATTATTAAAAGTGTATAACAATGGCATGGGAAAACTGGAAAAGAATAAGAAGTTGTCAGAAAAAAGATTTAAAAAACACAATCCCAATCATTACCTCTTTTCCTTACTCACCCCTCTCTCAATGGTTTCAAGGATTGGATTGCAAGGTATATGATGGTTATTAGTGGCTGAGGGGAGGGTGCTTGGAGGAAAGACTGCTACTTTTTGGTCATCACAGCCTAGAAAAGAGTAAGTAATCCCCTCTCCCAACACAACCACTAAAAAAGTAATAATGGTTAATATAACTATGGGAAAATGCAGCCCCTCCCTGGTAATAAGAGAAAGGCAAATTCCAACCACAAGGAGAAGGGGCCACTTTTGACCTCTGACATTACCAAAGACAAAATGAGTGACAGGGCCTGGTGTGGTAGGGGGTGGGAAGTTAGTAAACTGGCTTACTTCTGCAACGCTGCTGGTGGGAGGGGAAAACGGGGAAGTTGAAGGATGACATAATCCTCACGTGATCAGGAGCTGACTGAACCGAAGTCCTTATGTTCCCAGGCTTCTTTCTCCTTTGGGTACCAGCTCCTTATTGACCCTGCAGACGTGCGTGTTTGTGGCCAGGGAAAGGAAGAGGTAAATTCCTGAAATCCCAACAGGTTGGTGTGAAGGAGGGACCCCTGGGGCAGTACTGGCTGAATCTAGTGGCTGGAATAAGTCCAGGCTTGCTTTCCCAAAACTCCTGCAAAATCGACGCAGAAAATTGTATCTTTTGAAGGGGGAACCAGGAAGTAGGTCGAAGTCTCCTGAGAGACACCCAGAGATTTAGTGATAGTTCAGAAATAATCGACTTCTCTCATTATCCTTCTCCCTTTCTTCAATTCCGTTGGAGAAAATGGTAGACCTGGGGTGTGAATTGGTGAGTGGAGAAAAGCTAAAATCCTGTGATGAAGACAAAATAAATTTAGAGAGAACTTAAAAATAGTTCGCCTCACTCAATACTGGCCTGTGGTGGCGGGGCAGGGCGAGGTGGGGCAGAGCAGAGGAAGGAGACCTGGGCCTCGAAAAAGACCAAGGCCTGAGGGTGAGGGGTAAGGAGTGGGAACAGAAATCCTGGAGGAAAGGGGAGGAACAAAAAGGGAACTAGGTGGTAGGAAATTTGGGGCGACGACGGTGATGAGAATCCTGGATTCAAGATAATAACGTGTGTCTTTGTCTCTGGGGCTGGTTCATCCACAGAAAATTCTCGCCTCCATGCCCTCTTTCTTTTTGTTTGCAGTTCCCAAGTTCTGTGTTCACAGACATCTAGAGGCAAGAAAAAGAACTGGGAACTCCCCTGCATCAGCACAGGTCAGTGTGAGAGAGGCACGTTGAGATCTCTGAGGGTGGGAGTCGGGAAGGCAAAACCTGGGTGAAATTTACGGCTTCACAGTCTACCTCCGCTCCTGCTCCCCTTCTCCCGCCGATTGGAGTGGCCATTAGCCTTGTCTGCTAGGGAAATGGTGGGCTCCAGTGGGGAAGGGGCAAAGGAGGAGAGGAGAGGGAGGATGGAGGGAGCCACGACGTCTCGAACTGGTGAGGGTTGAACCTGTGGGGCAGAGGTGCGAGATTAGGCGAGTATCTCGCCTCAAAGAGAAACTAACAATCTTGATTTGAAGTAACGAAGCAATCTGTCTCTCCATTTTCTCCTTGGAGTTAAGCAGGAAACAATAACAACATCATACAAAAACCCTGCGAAGAAAATAATGGAAAGCCAAAGTGCAGCGTGCCAAAGAGGGAGGAAGAACGCCCCTATGGAGAATTTGAACGCCAACAAACGGAAGGGAATTTGAGACAGAGGCTGCTTCGGTCTCTCAAAGAATTTAAAGAGGACATAAACTATAGGCATTTTAAGGATGAAGAAATGACAGGAGAGGGGGATGATATAGAAAGGTGTTTGGAAGAGATAAGAGGTCTGAGAAAGAAATTTACGGCTCTGCATTCCAACCGTAGGCATCCTCGGGACCGGCCTTATCCCATTTAATGCATTTCCCCGAAAATTCAGTTATTTTCTGTTCTTAATATTGCCCTTGTTTTCTGTTAGTTTGCATTTTCTTGCTAAACATTTGTTACCATTTTACCTCGATCCTTCACTGTTGCTTAGATTTACATGTGACTCTTGTCAACATCTCATCTTTTAACCCAATCTTACTCACTTAATAAGCCATCTCATTCATTTGTATGGGGAGATGCTCATTGCATATTGTAAAGTAAAAACAGTAAGTTGGGAAACAGTATGTGTGTATATATGTATATATACATACACACACACACATACTTTATATGTATATTTCTATATGACATAATGCAAAGTGTCTGAATTTATTATACACCAAAGATTAACAGTGAATCTCTATGTGATCTATTTTATTTCCTTTTTGTTGTTGCCTACCCGCATTTTCTCAATTTCCAAAAAAATGAATATATGTTTGTGTATGTATATTATTTGTGTCACAAAAAAAAAACAAACACAAAATAGACATGATAAAAGAACTTGTCAATCACCTTTGGAAGACAGTGAAACACTTAATAAACACTTAATAACAGAAGCAGAAAAAAGAAATGTAAACCCCAAATTATCTCTGGTTCTTTCAGCCAGAGGAATAAACTGGCAATTATTATAGATACACATGTTTAAGAGTCAGTCTATTCATGGGAAAAATATTTGCCTCAGGGCTGCTGCGGGGAAGAAATGAGGCCATATGTTCCCACCTGTGCATACAGAACTCCAACTCTATAGAACCACAATTATTTGAGAAAAGGCCTGGCATGACTCTACTTGTATTCAGGAACAAATCCAGTAGGCAGAGGTTGAGGCTGCCATGCTAGTCCTTTGATGTTAAGCCCTGCTCCCATCTTCTCTTCTGGGTCCCACCATGCCTGCTGGGCACTGCTGTCTCTTCTGGGTCCTTTGCTCTGCTGGCCCCCACTGCTGCTGGTGCACTGCCATCCTTGAGTCCCCAAACCCCAGTGGGGACTGAGTTTCCTGGAGTCCCCAGTGGGTCTCCCACTTTGTCTTCCAACGCCTCTGCTTTACAGTGACACAACGTAGGTGAGACTACTTGGGTTGCTTGGGCCACAGTGTCTTGCAGAATCCTTAGCAAAACAGCACCTTCTGTTTTCAATCACAGGACCCTTCCTCTCCATAGTAGTCAGGTGTGATGAGTTCATTTGGGAATTGGACTGGGGCACACATTTGTGTGAAAGACGTCATGCTGTAGTCTGGGTTGCTACTCTAAGTCTAAGGAATGAGATTTTGTCCTCCTCTTGTGGGATGCTCTCTCTGAAGGTGCCTGTCAGGCCTGCCTTATTAGAAGACTCTTAGGGGACATGCGTAAATTGCACAAAGTGGTGCAGGAAACAGATCTAAGGGAACAATTCCCTGCTCCCCATTTTTTCCCCTCCTGAAATGTGTTAAAATGTTTTGTAAGAGTAAGATATATGTGTGTGTGTGTGTGTGTGTGTGTGTGTATTTACATATATAAATGTATATGTACATATAAATACATATATATGTTTTGTAAGACTAATATATATGCTAATATATTAAGATTAATATATACTAATATATAAAAGATTAATGTATATATACATATATATTAGTCTTAGAAAGCATGTATGTGTTTATAGTATACATTTAAGCAATATTCCAATTGAACTTTTTACATTTTGTATCTCAGAGTAAAGACTATGTCATATTTTTTATTATACTCCTATTGATTAGTTCTGGGATTAACATATAGTGGGTATTTAATAAATGCTTGCTTAATTAGAATTTTTGTGCCCAGTTTTACTTCTGATTACATAAAATTGGCAATTACACTACTTTTCTAGAAACTATAACTTACACTTAAAAAAAAAACTAACAGGTAAAGAATTACTCCCCAAATTTCATCTACAGTTATTCTCACATTATAAAACTAGTCCCTCTCAAAAAGTAATCTCCTTACATTGTAATAAACTGAAGTGCTTATTTTACTTATTTATTTTATTGTAAAGATGTGGAGTACAATCCAGGGTTAGTATATAAGTGGTCATTGTACAGGTGAAGTCTGGTCCTCCCACTGAAGTTCTTTTAAAAATGCAAAATTCAGCTGGGCGTGGTGGCTCATGCCTGTAATCCCAGAACTTTGGGAGCCTGAGGCATGAAGACTGCTTGAGCCCAGGAGTTCAAGACCAGCCTAGGCAACATAGTGAGACTTCGTCTTTACAAAATATCAAAATATTAGCCAGGTGTGGTGGTGCGTGCCGGTAGAATCAGCTACAGTTACTCAGGAGGCTGAAGTGGGAGGATTGCTTCAGCCCAGGAGGTCGATGCTGCAGTGCACTGTGATCACATCTGTGAATAACCACTGCACTACAGCTTGGGCAACATCGGGAGACTCTGTCTCTAAAATTTTTTTTTAAAGCAAAATTCTGTCACACATCTTCCCAAACACATACATATTTTTATAAACTCACTGAGTCAGAATCTCTGTGCATTTGTCTTTGGAATCTCCATTTTGGGGTTCCCATGAAATCATGGTCTCCACTACTGCCTCATAAACCCTCATCATAGACCCTGTTTCAGCTGAGCTCTGCAGAAGAGTCTTCTTAAAATCAAAGACCCTACTGGTTTATAGTTTATAACTTGGGGCTCCTAAAAATCAAAATGGTGGTTATTATACCCTGAAAATTCTTGAAAAGACACAAATAGGATATCCACCAAATAAATCTACATGGAGAATAAACATTATTCAGCCTTACTAAGAGACAAAAAGACAAATAAAAAACAATTAAAGTGACACCACATTATTATCAAATAGGTAAACGTTTACTTAGAATACTGAACTTTATTGATGATATAGGCATTCTCATACTCAGTGAGAGAGTAAATAACTGCATTCATTTTTGTGCTTCTATTCACAATAAGTTCCAAAAGTTGTATATTTTTCCTACTTCATGATCCAACAATTCTACTCCTTTGAAAGTGCTCTAAGAAAGTCATCATGGTGATGAGAAAATGTTTAGCTATACACACACCTACTTAAGGATTTTGTATACCTGCAGAGTTTTTTGTTTGTTCCTTTAACCTAAAAATCAAGCACATGGGCTATTCAATCAGAATAAAAATGAACTTAGATTACTACTTATTACATACAAAAAAATGTATCCCAAGTGGATTAAATATAAAAATGTGAAAAAAAAATATTACAAGAAAAATTAAGGAAGAAAAAATTTTAAATAGTCTTGTGGTAGTGATTATCTTCTTAAGCAAGCAAGAAAACCCAGAAGTTGCAAAGGAAAAAATATAAAGGGCACAAAGACAAGAAATAGCCTGAGAAAAAATATTTGTAATACCATGGCAGATAATAGAAAAATATCCCTAGTATGACAATAGCTTTTACAAGTGGAAAATAAAAGATGAACATGCCAGTAAAAATATGTGCAGACTATACAACCCAGCATTTTTAGTATTTTGAACTACTGGACAGATATATTTACATAGATGCACAAGAAAGTATAAATGGATGTTTATTATGGCATTGTTTGTAAGAGTCAAAACGTTAAAAACACACTAAGGCATCGATAGGAAAATAGACACATTGTGGTTTATCTATACCAAGAAAAACTACACATTAGTTAAAAAGAATGAGATTCTTATATTGAAGTATCTCCAGGAGTATTGATGAGTAAAGACAATAGGAAAGTAGATGTACTACAATAGCATTTAGTTCAAACACAAAACAGAAGTATATAAATTTCTGGATGAATACCCATCAAACTGTTAACTGTTTAATTATAAAGAGGAGATTGAAATTGGAAGTGTGGCAGCCATAAAGGACAAAATCATGGACTTCTCAGCAAATTGGATGGAACTGGAGACAATCATTCCTAGTGATCTATCACAAAAACAAAGAACCTAATGCCACATGTTCTCACTCCTAAGTGAGACCTGGCCAGGATCAGTGGCTCAGCCTGTAATCCCAGCGCTTTGGGAGGCCGAGACGAGTGGATTGCCTGAGCCCGTGGGTTCGAGACCCACTTGGGCAACTTGACAAGACCTAGTCTCCACAGTAAACCAAAAATTAGCCTGTTGTGGTAGCGTGCGCCTGTAGTTCCGCCTACTTGGAAGGCGGAAGGATGCTGGAGCCTAGCTAGTCGATGCTGGGGTGGCAGTGAGTGTCCAGCTGCACTCCAGCCTGGGCGACAGAGTGAGACTCCAACTCAAAAAAATAATAACAATAATAAGTGGGACCTGAGCATTAATCACAAAAGCACAAGGGAGGGGTGGGGAGTTGAGGGACACTGCCCGGGGAGGAAGGAAGCGGGGCACCTAACAACACAAGGAGTACCTGATCCTAAACCAAACTTCACCTGCAAGTACATTACTTGTGTACCTAATCCTGATGTGTACCCCACATCTTTATAATAAAATAAAGATTAAAAGGAAAAATAAAATCCATCTTACTGATTTAAAAAAATAAAATAAAATAATTTTGAAAGTGTGACTGGAGTCGTACATTAGGATGGACTAGACTTTGCTTAATTTTAAAAATCTAAAATCTCAATTGCTTTTAAAAAATTGATTATTCTTTCATGTCATAATTCAATGATAGTTATTGGCTGTCTTGTATGGCTCTGCTCCATTGATTTTGTAGGCATTCAGCCTGCATTTGTCTTGTAGTCATGTATTCCAGATGGTACTCATGGTTTCCAAGGATACTGAAAGGAGAGCAGAGGGATCACCCACGGTTGTTTTTAAGCCTAGGAAATGTTTTTTATTGCAAATTATGACCCCAGCATATGTGCAAGGGAGGCTAGAAAAATGTAAGAGAACATACTTTTTGACCAAGCAATGTTACCTTCATGAATCTAATCTATAAAAATAAAAGCATGTGTGCAAGTATGTTCATTGCAAGTAGCATTGCTTTTAGTGGCACAACATGGAAATAATTTCATGTTAATTAAAAGGGGATTGGTTGAATAGCTTAATGTACATTTATACTATAGAAGGTAGATTCATTTGCCTCTGTATTTACTGAACTTTGACAAGTCTTACAAGACTTCCAAACTGAAATAAAGGGATACAAGTTATGTAACTTAAAGTCATATGAAAAAAATAAAGAATAACAGTAAAGGTAGCTACTCAGGAAAATAGGAAAACAAGTAGTATTTCATATATGGCTTATAACTCCTCTTTTTTCCTATTTGAGTTAACAAACAAATGCACAAAACAGTGTTAAGATGTACACTTGGACTAAAGATATTATATGTGACAATTAAAACATAAAGGGAGGATGGAGCTTTAAAAGAATAGAGT